GTTGCTGGTGGTCTTGTTGATGTTGTCGTTGGTAGTGTTTTTGTTGTTGTTGGTGTTGTTGTTGGAGGTGGTGTTGTTGTTGGTAGTGTTGGTGCTGTGGTGTTGGTGTTGTTGTTGGTGTTGGTGTTGAATTCTCATTTCTGGGGAATGATTATTGTTGATCCCCCCCCACCAGTGCATACTGTTTTTTCTCAATCAAAGTGTGCCCCTCGACGCTCGCACCCGGTTTTTTGACAGGGAAATTCTTCCCGCTCAAACTGGGGCCCCCCCTGTTACAACAACAATTGCTCCCGCTTGAAACTTCCTTACAATTTAGCCAGGACCCCCGCTCCCGCCCGAGACTTCCTCGCATTTTATTCCGGAGTCGTGCTCTCGCCAGGGACTTCCTTACAAATTGTTCAGGAATCGCTCTCCCGGCGCTCTGGAGTCGCGCTCTCGCTGGAGACTCGCTTGCAACTTACTGAAGAGTGGCCTTGCGTTGGAATGTCTTGCAATTTGCCCAAGCGCCGCGCTCCCGACACCCAGGCACCCAGGAGTCGCGCCCGTTGTGGCCCCATGTGCATGCCCTTCGTGGCCCCGCTGTCGCCATTAGTGTCCCCCTCACTGTCCTATGTGGCCCAGTTGCTACCCTCAGCGGCCCCATAGTTGCCTTCTGTGGCCCCGCATTATCTGCACTTCGTGGCCCGTGGCCCCCGCTAGTTCGCGCTCTTCGTGGCCCCATACGCATTCCCTTCGTGCCCCTGCTGTCGCCCTTCGTGGCCTACTTCGTGCCCTTCGTGGCCCTGCTGTCGTTCTCTCTCGCTCTCGCTTTCGCTCGTCGTCGCCGTCGTCGTCGTCGTCGCCGTCGTCTTCGACGTCGTCGTCGTCGTCGTCGTCGTGGTCGGTCCCCTGTCCGTCCCTCTTGGGGTCGGGTCGACGGTCCGCGGCCGCCCCGCCGATCAGCGCTGCCGCTGGCCAGGCCGACGGTCCGCGGCCGCCCCGCCGCTTGCCAGGGCTCGGCCTGCAGGGAAGAAAAGTATACCCTCCAAAAGGGGTTGGATCGAAGACGAAGAGGGCGGGTATCGAGGGTTTGGGGAATACGCGTTATTGGACACGCGAGCATATAAGGGCGAACCGTCTTAACAACAACAACAACAACAACAACAACAACAACAACAACAACAACAACAACAACAACAACAACAACAACAACAACAACAACAACAACAACAACAATGATTTTAAGACTGTTCGTCCTTATCTGCTCGAGTGTCCAATAACGCGTATTTGCCAAACCATCGATACCCGCCCTCTTCGTCTTCGATCCAACCCCTTTTGGGGGGTATACTTTTCTTCCCTGCAGGCCGAGCCCCGGCAAGCGGCGGGGCGGCCGCGGACCGTCGGCCTGGCCAGCGGCAGCGCTGATCGGCGGGGCGGCCGCGGACCGTCGACCCGACCCCAAGAGGGACGGACAGGGGACCGACCACGACGACGACGACGACGACGACGACGACGTCGACGACGAACGACGACGGCGACGACGACGACGACGACGGCGACGACGAGCGAAAGCGAGAGCGAGAGAGAACGACAGCAGGGCCACGAAGGGCACGAAGTAGGCCACGAAGGGCGACAGCGGGGACACGAAGGGAATGCGTATGGGGCCACGAAGAGCGCGAACGAGCGGGGGCCACGAAGTGCAGATAATGCGGGGCCACAGAAGGCAACTATGGGGCCACTGAGGGTAGCAACTGGGCCACGTAGGACAGTGAGGGGGACACAAATGGCGACAGCGGGGCCACGAAGGGCATGCACATGGGGCCACAACGGGCGCGACTCCTGGGTGCCTGGGTGTCGGGAGCGCGGCGCTTGGGCAAATTGCAAGAAATTCCAACGCAAGGCCATTCTTCAGTAAGTTGCAAGCGAGTCTCCAGCGAGAGCGCGACTCCAGAGCGCCGGGAGAGCGATTCCTGAACAAATTGTAAGGAAGTCCCCAGCGACAGCGCGATTCCTGAATACAATGCGAGGAAGTTTCGGGCGGGAGCGGGGGTCTTGGTTAAATTGTGAGGAAGTCTCAGGCGGGAGCCGTTGTTGTTGTTGTAACCCGGGGGCCAGGGGCCCAGGAGGGGCGGAGGGATGGAGTGGGAGGGATTCGTCGGGAGGCAGGCAACGGTGCGGAGGAGGAGCAGGGGGGGGGAGGGGGGGAGGAGGGGGAGGAGGAGGAGGAGGAGGAGGAGGAGGACCCCACATGAGAATCCTCTCGGTTAATCTGGAAATAACCCTCATCGTCGTCCTCGTGATTGTTGAGGCGTCCTTGCTGTCTTCTCTGCGTCATTCTCCTCCGGCAGGCTCTCTTCCGCTTTCTACGTTACCCTCTGGCGCATGCTTCCTCGCAGCCCACTATCAGACGAGGCTCCCGCCTGATACCTCCCCCATATTCAGGCCTCAGGGGACGCAGCAGTGATGATAGTTACAGGTTTTCCGGTAACCCCGCGCGGATTGCAAACATGAGCTGCGGGCTCCATAAGGCGGAGGCTCCCGCCTGAGACTTCTTCGCAACTCACTCACAGACGAGGCTCCCGCTTGATACTTCCCCCATGTTCAGGCGTTAGGGGCCCAAAAGTGACGACAGCTACAGGTTTCCCGATGGCCCGCTCCGATAACAAACATGAGTTGCGGGCCCCGTGGGGAGGGGGCTCCCGTTTGACACTTCCTTTCAATGCACTCACAGACGGGGTTCCCACCTGATACCTCCCCCATATTCAGGCCTCAGGGGGCCCCAAAAAATGATGACAGTTATAGTTTTCCGATGACCCGCTCGGATTACAAACATGAGCTGCGGGCCTCATAGGGCGGAGGCTGCCGCCTGAGACTTCCTCGCCATGTATTATCAGACGAGGCTCCCGCCTGATACCTCCCCCATATTCAGGCCTCAGGGACGCAAAAGTGACGATAGTTACAGGTTTTCCGATGACCCGCTCGGATTACAAACATGAGTTGCGGGCCCTATAGGGAGGGGGCTCCCGTTTGACGCGTCCTCGCAGTTCACTCACAGACGAGGCTCCCGCCCGATACCTCCTCCAGACTCTGGCCTCAGGACCCTAAAAGTGTCGACAGTTACAGGGTTCCGATGCCCCGCTCGGATTACTAACATGAAATGCGGGCCCCACAGGGAGGGGGCTCCAGACGAGGCTCCCGCCTGATACTTCCCCCTGAATTCAGGCTTCGGGGGCCAAAAAGTGACGACAGTTAAAGGTTTTCCGATGACCCGTTCGGGTTGGGAGGAGGAGGAGGAGGAGGAGGAGGAGGAGGAGGAGGAGGAGGAGGAGGAGGAGGAGGAGACGGAAAAGGAGGACGAGGAGGAGGAGGAGGAGGGGGTGACTGCCGCTCGAAGTCGGCTCCCCCTTCGCACCCACCCAACCATATGCCCCGAAGCCACTTCCAGCACGATTCCACATCGCACCTCCCGACCGTGCCAGATCCGCACCACCATCGGCACTCCGAAGGGCAAGCACTCACAGCAGGCCCGCGCGCAAGGTACGGATCCTGGACGACGGTGACGGATTCGACAACCCAATGGACCGCAGGCGCTTCAACCCCGAGAGTCAAGAGGGCAGCTCGGGTTCAAGCTCGGACACGACAAAAAACTGAGCAGGACTTCCCCCGCTGGGGGGCAACTGGCCCAGCGGGGGAGTCCCACCACAACCCTACCAGAAGACCGAGCACCTAGCCCGCTCAGAGTGGCTATACGTAACTACCAGCTCGATGGAGCAACCACTGTGCCCCAGCAGACGTGCTGTGCGACCCATGCGGTGCCAGTCACTCAGCGACAGGCCCAGACGCTTTTACAGCCACAGGCCCCACTCGGGAGGCCGCCGACCGCCTCAGCGGTGTTAGCTTGTGGGTTAGTACACCGCCTGACGCCAACGGCCGCGCAACCTAGCACTCCACAACCAGCGACTGCGACACAAAAAAACAAAACCAAAACAAATATTAGCTTCAACACCATTTGCGAGTGGGTAATCTACTCAGCCGCCGCGCCTTGGGACCAGCACCACGACCATGGCAGCGCGCAGGCACTAGCAACCACGACCGCACCAACCGTCGGACCGAGGACCATTCCCTCGGCCGACAACCGCAGTGCACCAACCACCCCACCCAGGCGGCCAGCGAGGCCAGACGGGGCTAGCCCCCATCGGCCCGACCGACCCGTTCCCAAGAGACGCTCTCAGCAGAAGGCAAACCAAGCGACCAGCCACTTTGGCCCAAAGGCGCCGCATCAACTTTCTCATGCAGTGCCTAACGAAGAGCCCCACCAAGAGGCCAACCGACGTCAGCAGCAGCAAGGATTGCAGCTGCCGCAGCAGCAAGGACTGCAACAACCTGAGGAGCAGCACCAAGACTCTCTCCACAGGCCACCACCAGATGGACCTCGGAGACTCCCCGAGGCCGGCCTTTCTGCATCGCCAGACTCTCCCCCTAGAGAGCACCACAGCACCTCTAATGGCCCACCAGAGGCCAACCCAGACTACGCCACGGGACCAACAGCTGCGCCACTGCAGATGCCTTGGATGCGCAGCCAAGCGGCGCAGACGCCCCGAGGAACCGACGCAGCACCAACCATCCCAGAGGCAGCCACTTGCATAGATCCACGAGAGATCTACGACATCGAAGCCACATACCTTGACACCAAGCATACCGATAGGGGACGCGCCATGCAACCCTTCCGCTCTCGTACCACTGCTACGCCCCTTCCCCCAACATCGACGCGACTGTTCGACGCCCAAGCACAGACACACGCTACTGACCAGCACTTTCACCGAGCAAGAGGGAAGGCTACCCAACCATTCAGGGCCACCAACATCAAGCCCCCAGCACCGACCTACCAGCCAACGACATCACCCGACATGCCACCTCCGATGCCAGAGCAGCGCAGCGTACAATTTGACGAGCGTCCGACCATCCGACAAACGATCCAGCGATCACCATCTCCCCACATCACCTTTGTCCTTTGCGACGAGTCCCTCAACGAGACAGCCGACTATATGCTTCGTCACCACCTACAACGACCACTGCAATAAGGAGCACAGATCCATTATCTACACGGACGGCACCAAAAACCCGAAGAGGCCGAGCGACGACGCCTGGTCCGTGGTGATCGTAGGTGACGACAAGCTCGGCTTCAGCTTCCAGGGGGCCATCATAGGGAAGCACAAGAGCGGCACCGACATCGCCCTCAAGGACAACGTCGAGCACGAGACCACGTCCACGACAGTCGAGATCACAGCCCTGATATGGGCCTTCGCCTGGGTGATACACCACAACCCCCTCCACATCACCACGGTATCCACGGACTCGCTCGGCGCTCTGCAGCTCGCGAAGAGGCTAGCCTTCACCGACCACGACCCCAAGCTCGCCAGGACACTCTGCATCCTCCACGACATGGTCAGCAACAAGATCGACCTGCAGCACGTCCACGCCCACGACTACAACCCATGGAACGAGGTTGCCGACGCCGCCGCCAACCACGGACGCCTGCAATAAGTTATACCTCCTCAACCAGAGTGGGCAAGCGCCATGGATGGCGCATCCCAGCGGGACTGGGAGTTCCTGATCGACGCGGGCCCCAACACCAAGGAGGCCTACCCTGTCTTCGGCCCGGGCAATCCCGCAGCAAAAAGGGTCGAGACGACCGCCGAGGCCCGACACTTCCACAACCCCTCCGAGTCCAATGACAAGAAGATCCTCGCAGAAATAAACATCGCCACCTTCAACATCCAGTCGGGGAGAGAGCCAAAGGAAGGATCGAAGCGTCGAAAAGGGAAGATCAACGAGCTTAAGACCACGATGACCTGCCTGTACGACGAGGACCTCCACATCATTGGTATCCAGGAGGCAAGGACACCCACGGGGCGTCCGCGACGCAGTTCAAGACGACGACGCCAGGTGCGCCAACGCCAACTGCTACCACATCATATCCAGCGGCCACAAAAGGGTTCAACTACGGCTGCGAGCTCCATGTCCTACTCAGCAAACCCTACGGCAAGAACGGCAAAAAGGAGCTCTTCTTCAAACCTGACCAGTTCACAGTCATTGTCAAGGACCCCAGGCTCCTCATCGTGCGCGTAGCCGCCCCTGGCTTCAACCGCGCGCGTGCCGTCGCTCACGCCCCGCACTCGAAGGCCCTCGCGACCGAGCAGGATAGCTACTGGAAGAAGCTCGCGGGTAACACTGAAAAGCACCAAGTCTGCATCATCTTCTTCGATGCAAGCGCCAGGACAGGAAGCATCACCAGCGCGGCCATCGGCGACATGGGCTTCAAGCAAAACGAGGACCCAAACGGTCACCGCCCACATGAGCTGCTCCTGGCCAACCACCCGGCGGCCGCCAACACCTTCGTCAGTCATGGACCAGAGCATCATGCCTGGCACTCGGGCAAGGGCCCTCATCGCATCGACTACGTCATCATCCCCAGGGGCTACATAGACTCCATCGAGGAGTGCGCCGTGCTCTACGGCATAGACAGCGGCCAAGACCCAGAGACCAAGGACGACCACTACCCAGTCAAGATGCAGCTTGCTTACCAGATCGTCTCGTCCGTCACCAAATGTATCCCGAAGTTAGACGAGAGCAAGCTAGCCGACGAAGGGTGCCGCAAAAAGTTCTGCCAAAAACTAGATGAGGTCAAACACCCGCCCTGGGGCACCAACCTCAACGAGCACCTCACCATAGTCACAGAGAAGATCACGGAGGCCGCTTACGAGTGCTTCCGCTCCAACAGCCGCACTCCGCACAAGCCCCACCTTACCAAGCGGTCTTTTGATCTTCTGCGAGTTCGCCGCTCGGCACTCAGAATTTTTTATATATATATATATAAAACTGGATTGCCAGCCACTTCGGTGGCAAGAGGTTGCGCTACACGGCAAAGATCATCGCGAGGGAAGCCCTCCTGCCCGACCGCTCAGATGCGAGTGCACTGGCCGCTCCCAGTGACTACGTCAAACTAGTGGTGGCCTCCATCATACTCAGCACACCCAGCCCAGTTTCCCACGTCGTGGAACCCGACCACGCCAACACCGCGCACAGCGCCCAGCACTATTTCGACGCCCTTCCCCTATTCCTCAGGACGTCTAAGTCGACCCTACAGCAGTGGATCACGACAGACCGCGACGATTTCCCCGAGAGAACCGCCGACGAGATGGGCGCAGCGACCGACGACCACGCCCCCCGTCTAGAGGCCCTGCACGCCATGCGACTACTGGCCTTTGGAGGACGAAAGTCAAAGAAGCCGCCGACGCCCACCATCCGCACCAACGACGACGGGGGGCCCATCACCAATAAGAGCGAGATCGCCGACCACGCCCTAGCCTTCCACGGCAAAGTTGAGCAAGCTATTGCCACGAATGCAGACGGGGTAGCAGCCGACTACAACAAGAGGACCCGCCACGCAGGACCAGAACCAAATATCTAAAACATAATACCCAAGCACCAGCTGACCAGCCAGCTCGCCGCCGCCAAGCGAGGCCGCCGAGGAGGCCCTGACCAGCTCACCGACGACATGTCCAGAGCCGGCCCTGAAGGGATGGCTCGCCTGCCCCACCCCGTCCTAGTCAAGACCCACTTCGAGAGCGCCGAGCCCATCGCCGCCAAGGGAGGGTACTCTACCTATTCCCACAAGGGACAGGGTGCCATGGAGCTCCAGAAACCATACCGCGGCATCCTCCGCAACAGCACCATCGGCAAGATGCACAGCACATTCCTCCGATCCCGCGTGCAGGGCCTGCTACCTGAGCTACTTGAAGCAACCCAATGCGGCGCCCGACCCAGGATGGCCACGGATTTCATTACTCACACCAGTCTCGCCTTCATCTGCGACTGCCAGAGGAGATCAAGACCATGCAGCATCACCTTCCTGGACCTCAGGGAGGCCTTACACTCCGTCATCAGGGAATTCTGCATGCAATTGCCGACCACCGCTGACGAGCTCAACGAGCTCACCGAACGGCTCGACATTCCCGACTTCACCAGACCAGCTCTAAAGGAACGACCCCAGCAACCCGCATACAACAACCAGCACATCGACGACGAGCACCTCTGCCACATGATCGCAGATCACCACACCTCCAACTGGATGACTGCCAAGAGCGCTAGGCACTACCAGCTGCCTCGGACCAGCACCCGACCTGGAGTGTCATACTCGGATGTCGCCTTCAACATGCACTTCGCCATCATGCTGAGGGCAATTGACCAGGCAGTTCGAGAGGAAGAGGCCCACGGCCAGCAGACAGGCGGACACGAACTAGAGGCATGCAGTGAGCCTCGATTTTCACCAACCCCTCACGAAGGAAGCGCGATCAGAAACATGTCCTTCGTCGACGACCCCACCGACTACAATTCGACCGCCAACGCCAACGACCTGATCAACACGACAGCTCTGGCAGCAGCCAGGCTCTGCAGCAGCATTCCAGCATGGGCTGAAGCCACGCCCTGAAAAGACCAAGGCCATCCTCATGCACTACGGCGCGGGGGCCAAGAAGGAGAAACAGCGGATAGCCAAGGAGGGGATCACACACCTAGAACTGGACGGGCTCGCGAACAAGGTGCAGCTGGTAACGCAACGGAAGGCCCTCGGTACCATCATCTCGGCGGGCGGGGCCATGGGGCCGGAGATCTGCCCAAGGGTCAACCGTGCACTTGGTGCAGCTCGGCCTCAAGAGAAGCAGATCCTCCGCCGCAAGAAGCTCTCAAAGAAAGCCAAGGTCAAGTACGTCCACTCTTTTTCGACATCCTCGCTTACCTACAACCACCATGTCTGGAACGGCTTGGCCCAGAAGGACCTGAAGCACATTTCCGCCAAGTACATGGGCCCATACGGAGTCGCAGCTTCACTGCCCAAGACCAACTCACCCGACCAGCACATCTCCGAGGCCGAGGCGATCGCCAAGACAGGAGTACCCGACTTCACCACCCACCAGCCGATTGCGAGGCTACGATACTTGCCCAGACTCTTGGGTAATGCTCCAGCAGTCCTACTTCATCTACTCGACGGCCAGCGCCAACGAAAGGGCACATGGAGCCGCCAGCTCAAGAAAGACTTCGACTTCCTACGCACGTACTTACCAAAAGAAAGGTGGCCCAACTAAACCCAGCACGACCGCGACATCATCAACTGGGCCCGACAGAAGCCGAAGCTATCCACCAACGCGGTCAAGGCAGCTTTGAAGGCATACATTCTCCACACTCGCGACCAAGCTCAAGGCGCCAAGCTCCAGAAGGACATCTTGATGACCCCGGCAGATTACACAACTGAAGTGATGGACCTCAGCGACGACACGAACAACCAGAGGTACATCTGCTACGCCTGCGGCCGAGTCGCCTCCAGGCAAGGCGTGCTAATCCATATGGGCAGGGACCATCCAGACCATGAAGACCCGCGCTTCTGGGCGACAGGGACAGCGTGCCAATGCTGCCAGACCGAGCACCACTCTCTTCCCAGGATCATCATGCACTTATCGGTGGCTCACCGCTGCCGCAAACCATGGCATGCCTGGCATACCCAGATGATGGAGCCTCTGGCGGAACAGCAAATAGCAGATAACATCGCCGCCATCGCCGAGGCCACAAACGCCAACAAGAAGCAAGGACGACACCCAACATTCAGCGACAAGCCAGCCTACCCGTGCGACGTCACGCCGCTGCCCCTCCTCGAGACGTCGCCCGTCCTACCCAAAGCATTTGCCAGACTCGAGTCATCACCAAGCAGACCACCCGCGTGCTCGCCCGCAGAACCAGCCGAGCGCCAAGAAATCGTCTTCATCACCGACCGCCCTCGACAGGCCGCCGACCTCCAACAGATCATGGCCAGCTACGGGATCACGAGCATCAGCGGGCTGGACTACACGCAGATCGCCATCCCCAGCGGTGACCATACCTCAGAACTCCCTACAGTACTTCGGCGAGCACAACGCAGGATCCTACATGGCGAGGTTGCTGCCATCTACGTAGTGTTCCCACGACGTACCTGGTACCTAACGATGCCACCGACGTTCCAGGCAGCATGGCAAGCAAGCGGCGCACCCCAGGGGCACCCTGGGGAACGCCTCAAGTCTCCGAAACCATCGCCGATGAGCTATTCGCCGCCAACAACGTCACACGACAGGTCTTGCGTATGATCTTCGTGGCGACCACTACCAAAGTACCATTCGTAGCAGCCATCTCTGCCGAGTCGATCATCAGACAGACCCCAGAATATCGGTACATCGCCAACCTGACGACCGTCTACGAGACCCCGACGAACCACTACGGCCTCGGCACCATACAGACCCTCGACAACGGCACCCGCGACGACCTCCGCAACATAATGCACGCGGCAAACGAAGAGGATATCGGCTTCACCATTGCCGACCTGCTCGACGGCAACATGGTGGCTAGATGGGGCCTCAGAACAGCAACCGCTGCTCCTACCAGCCAGAACATGAACACCAACGACGCCTACTACATTGAACGAGAGGACGAAGTGCCGCCTCATGCCGAAGACGAACGCCATGAATAATGTCACCGACAGCAAGTTCAATGGCGCCAGGACGCAAGTCCTGAGGAAGTCCCGAGTGCGTGGGAACACCCCAGACAGCGTCGCCAAGTTTTGCAAGAGGCGTTAGGACGCAAGCCCTGGGGAAGCCCCGAATGCGAGGGAACACCCCAGGCACAAGTCGCCACGTTCTGTAGTATTGCAGAAGGCAGCGGCAGCTCGTGCAAGAGGTCAGCGGGCACTTGCGAGCCGCATCACGCACCCACTCCACTCTTGCCAAGCACCACCGACCATATCCACCCCACGACCAAAGGTACGACCTACCACACCACGCCACAAGTCAACGCTGCCATGGTGAGGCAATGATCAAACTTCGGGACGGGCTCGAAGGGTGGGGGGGCAGGACGAGCACTGCCCGCGCCTACCAGGGGGGATGGTGAGGGGCAGGGGGGGGGGGGGGGGGTAGGACGGCCACTACCCGCGCCCCCGCGCCCTACCATCCCCATGGCGAAGGAGGAGCTTACCCGATCGCCGACGCGGCGAAGCCGAAGGCAGCAGAGACATCCCCCACCGACGACAACAGCAAGCACCAGGCCTGGGGTTCGCCCCCACCGAGGGCACCGTGACCCCTAGCCATAGCGGGACGAGGTGGGGCCGCCACGAACCCCACTTGAAGTCGGTGCATGGAGGCCTCTCATGTGTGCCCATAACCCACACCACAACCCCAGCAACAATACGCTCTCCCCACGACCAGACCATAGACACTCAAGACGACCTTCTACAACCTATGGGGCTCGCCACCGACCGATCACCCACCCCGCAACCACCACCCATCCAACCACCATCACCACCTCGATTCCACCAGCCCACTGAAAGGAGGACAGGAGCAGGGTCCTCAGCAGTGCGGCACGACTCAACCATGACAGTGCCTGCTGAAAGGAGGACAGGAGCAGGGTCCTCAACAGCCAGGCTCGATCAGCACGCCATGGAGACACCGAAAAGGAGGACATGAGCAGGGCCCCCAGAACCAATCTCCAGAAGGCACGCCCGCAGAAAGGAGGACAAGAGCAGGGTCCTCAGCTGCGAGGTACTACTAAGACAATCAACCCCAGAACCTCCACCTTATCAGCAACCACCACCCCGACTAGACCAGCCCGCTGAAAGGAGGACAGGGGCAGGGTCCTCAGCAGCGTGGCGTGATGAGCCTACCACAACCTTAGCTGAAAGGAAGACAGGAGCAGGGTCTTCAACAGCTCTGAAGATCGTCAAAGAAAAGGGGCCGCCCACAAATGCCCACAAGGAGGACAAGAGCAGGATCCTCAGAAGCGGTGCTCAGCATGCACGACATCTCAGAGGAGCTCACGCAAAGTGAAGGAGGCGGCGCATCGTGCACCGCGGCGAGGCCTGGCCGAAGGGGGGAACGGCCCGCCCCGCGTGTAACATGCGGGGGCCGCCAGCTCAGCCGAGCTGCATGCACAGCGGCTAGAGAAGGTCGGGCGCCCCTCAGCTCGCGAGCAAAGGAGGGGCGCCCGTCGCAAAGAAGTTCGAGGAGGATTAGTTCGTAGCCCACCTGAGGCCGTCGGACTGACGGGCTACGCCGCGGCGGCCGCCGCCGCAGCATAGAGCCCTCACTGAAAGGGTTCGCTGAAAGGGGGTGACTGCGGGGGCCAAGTACAACAGTTCTTCCCAGGCACGCTCCTCCCTGAGCCAGTCGGCCAGACCTCCCCCTGAGTGCCCTGCGATCCTGGCGTCTCCATTTTTTCGGGCCCGCCGTTTTCGTCAGGCTTCGGGCTCCGGGACCGTTTCAGATGCGGCTCGACAAATGGTGCAGAAAGATGGGATGGGGTCTAGGGCTCGCGTCGGATTTTCTGCGATGCCTCAAGATTTTCGCGCCGTCGGCTCTCAGGGTGACGTTGGGGAAGTACGAGGAGCAAGAGGAGGAGGAGGAGGAGGAGGAGGAGGAAGGAGGAGGAGGAGGAGGAGGAGGAGGAGGAGGAGGAGGAGGCGGAGGGAGGAGGAGGAGGGGAGGAGGAGAGAGGGGGGAAGAGGAGGAGGAGGAGGAGGAGGAGGAGGAGGAGGTGGAGGACGAGGAGAAGGCGAAAAAGGAGGGATGGAAAGGACGGGGAGTGGAGGCAGGAGGACGGGGCAGGAGTCGTACAATCGAGAAAGCAGCGCGGCGCACGAAGTTTTTGGAGGCCCGCGCGGATGTGCTCGTGGGGTCGGCACCGGACCCCGCTCCCCACACCGTCCGAGGGCGGGGTTCCTCCTCCTCCTCCTCTCCTCCTCCTCCTCCTCCTCCTCCTCCTCCGGCCTCCGCCTCCGCCCTTCTCCTCCTCCTCCTCCCTCCTCCTCTCCTCCTCTCCTCCTCCTCCTCTCTCCTCCTCCTCCTCCCCCCTCCTCCTCCTCCTCCTCCCTCCCTCCCTCCCTCCCTCCCTCCCTCCCTCCTCCCTCCCTCCCTCCCTCCCTCCCGCCCTGCCTCCCCCCTCCCTCCATCCTTCTCATTTTGGGCGTCGCTTCATGGTTTTTAGTCGCAGTGCGATTTGGTCACAGTGCCAGCCGATGCGCGACAGGCGTCTCGGGGGCTGCGCTTCGTGCGGGGCCAAAAACGATCCGCGGGCGAGCTCCTGCTCTACAGGCGGGGCTCAAGAGATGGGGGTCGGTGCAAACGGGGGTCAGCCAGAGCGCCGGGTCTTGCAGGATCCTGCAGGGCCAGGGTTGCACTTACCCGGGCTAGCCTACAACCAGGGGCGACGATGGGGGCGAATAGCCCAGGGGGGAGCACTACACGTATTCAGGTGCGCCGATGACCCATGTCTTCGAAAAAGGCTCCCGGGCGAATGCGTGTCATGCCCGCCCCCGGGCTGTTCGCCCATATCGTCGCCGCCGATGCAGGAGTCTGCAGGTCCTGGCTGACCCGGGTGTGATTGACCCGGGTCAGTGTACATCCCCGAGGCTTGTGCCAGCGGGAGGCGCTGGGCGCGGGGCGCGCGAGGGGCAGGAGAGGGAGAGGACAGCCCGCAGAGAGGGGAGAGGGCAGGGCACGCCCGCCGAGGGTCGGCGAGCGATGGAGGCGCAAGCGGCCTCGGGCACCGAGCGGGGTGCAGAGCAGGTGCACGTCGTTAGTTTCTTTGTCGTCTGGCGGGTTAGGCCCGAAATCGCACGCATAATTCTTGCGTGTTTTCTCGCTGGGGCCCGCATAAAACCACTCTCGTAGTCGTGATTGTTAGTGGTTGTCCCAACATTTGTACGTTTCCCATTCGTCGCAGGATTAGAGATGAGCGGCTTTAGAAAAGAGTGGTTTTACAAATGAGCAATGGGTAGTGGACAGTGAAGAGCGTGCGACGGAGGGATGAACACGCGGCCCTAGGGAAGTAGCCGAGAGCTCCGGGGAGGAGCTCGCGCTGAGCAGCTGCGAGGGCAT